CAGGGTCTAGGCCTGAAACGTCAGCCTCTCTGCTCCTATGATGCTGCTTGGCCTGCTGTGTTCATCCAGCCCTGCACCTTGTTGTCTAGCAATGAAATAGTGACCAGATGATCTGTTTAGATGGTGTCAGTTGAAGAATAAATATTTGCCAGGAAATTGAGAACAGGAGGGGATTCACCTCTGCTCTTTGACTTGTGTGGTGGAAAGGTGATAGCTGCAACAGTGCTGTTTTCCCACATCTGTGCCCTGATGGCTGGCCTTGATGTAGTGCCCAAGTCTCTGGAGTGGGATGAACTTCTGAGCCAGAGGTAAGAGTGCTAGCCACTGAGTCGCTGCTAACCCAACTAAGGAAATTGTAAAGTGTCTTTTTTCAATAAAGACCCAAAGAAAAAGCTATAGGTATCTGGGAAGGTTTGGCAGTGTGTCCCATTTCACTAACCATGGAACATTGGGTTTGAACTGTCTACCATCTACAATGTAATATTCCCAAATCCACCCCTTTGTAAAAAGGGTTTTGTTTGTTTGTTCTAAGTTCGGGTTAGTTGCAAGTTCTTTCTTCTCCTAGCAAATTGAATGGGAGGAGAAGAGGATAGAGGCACAGGAAGGACTCTGAGTGCACCAGATAAATGATAGGCACAGCCTGTGACTGGTTAAGAGTTGAGCTGAGGATATTCCTTCACTCCTTTGACACTGGAATCTGCGGGGCGTTGTTTTAGCAGGCCTGATGCGGTCAGCAAGCCCTTGTCTCTTATTGGTATATTAATAGTCTAATTGTGAGCATTCCAGAATCTGCCCAAAGGTGAATGATACTAGGAAGAAATGGCATATTCAGACTTCTATTTTAGGCGAGGCCAATAGTTTACTACTGAGAAACTTCAAGATAAAGCTCTTACTGAGGTCCCCCAGTATGAGTCTGACATGCTTGGGCCAGAAGACGGTGCTTACAGTTTTCCTCCCTTCTCCTCTGCAGGCTTTACCGGATTGATGTGTCAGATTGACATTGATGAGTGCGCGAGCACTCCCTGCCAGAATGGAGCCAAGTGTGTCGACAGGCCCAATGGGTATGACTGCAAATGTGCAGAAGGTAAGCCTACGGGATTCTTGCAGCCAGACGCAGCAATTCTTTGAACAGTGTACATCCACTGACCACAGACACTGCAGAAGAGCACACATTGCCCACAAAGACTCAGTTCATCCATGCTTCAGTTCTGCTTGTGACACCTCCACAGTTGATTAGCCTATTAGTGCCCATGGGTTATCTAAAGAATTGACCACTGGGACTGTACCAGTTGATGCCTATGGAACTGTAGCTTGCAAGAACCAGAGAGCAGAGAGGAGTTATGTTGCTACGAACATAAATTGTTACTAAATTCTTACTCAGGGTGAAGAGTGCAAGTAAAAGAAGTCACTCGCCCTTCAATCCTGCAGAAAATGCCCAGAAATTTTTTTTTTTGTCCTATATGGGTAAACTGCAGTATCTGCAGGATAATATTTATCTGAAAATGGGGTGTGCTTTCTTCAGTAGTTCCTACTGTCTCGACCCTGGGCTGTACTACGCAGCCAACACCGTGATTGATAGATCAGAGTGCAAACCGTGGAAAAGTGATCGTATTTAGTAGTTGTATAGCTGTAAGTTTATCATCCTGGTTTCCCTGAATGAAATTTTTAAGCATTGGACTGGCACACACGTGAGCCAAAGCTGCCTTTAGACAAGTCTGAAAATGGAGGAAAGAGACAGGAGAAATCTGGGGCCTGTGTTGAACTTGATGATTACTGCCAGATAATTAATGTCCACTGAATTGCTTCAATTCCAGCCATTGATACTATGATTTACCTCATTCCAATTGGGGAGTTAGAGAGAAGCATTTTACGCAGTTTTCAGAAGATGTTAAATTTATATACAGATGAGTTGAAGAAAAATAAAACATCTAGAGGGACTGACACTAGCAGGGCCCTTCAATAGATAAAGCTGTATTGTTCAGGCCAGTCTGATTAGTATTCACAGGATTTGGATGCAGGCACCAGGGAAGCCTACTGGATATGATGTCTATTGTGCCGACAGCTCATAGAATATTCTGTTGAACAATAGCAGGTTTGTGCTATTTTTTTCCACACCCCCGTTTCTTACTCCCTGCCACAGAGCCTCAGATCAGTCTGGAGGTGGCGTATGGAGTGAATGTGAGAACCAATTTTTCTGCCTGTTTGTCAGGCATCAGGCACAGAGATGGGAGCTGAATAACACACATTTCAAATAAACTAGGTAGGCTGCAAGTTTTTAAACTGGTAGGTTATTGGATAAACATGTAGGTGTGGTGTAGATGGTTCTTATCTGATTAGTCTTATGAACCTTCCTCATTAATTTTTCCTCTTGGTGTAAAATGCTGCATGTGCTGGTTCTCCCTTAACAATTTCATTTTCCCATTAGCCCTTCCACCAGCCCCAGTTTCCCCCGGTTAATCTCTGATGTTTGGTGTTGCTGTTTGGCTGCCAGTACAAATTGGGGCAGGAGCCATTCTGCAGCTTGTGACCCTACCTCCCACTAATCCCAGAGCCAGAACCCGAAATCAAACAAGCCCCCTCGTTCCCTCCAACCCAGCACCATCATTGTTGCCAGTAATGAAGAAAAAGGATGTACACATCCACTAACCTTGGTGTGGAGGGTTTTGTCTCCAAAGACCCCATCATATCGGCCTCATCTGCCAATGGTAACCAACTAGTGGCAATGGCATGAGGTCTTGAAGTGATGTAAATTTGCCACTTATGGGCCTCACATAGGCTAAGTGCAACCCAGCCGACCAATATCCCCCCTGCCACCTTGCCCCCTCCAAAAGAAACACACCTTAAAATTTCAGAGAAGTAGTGAGGTTTTAACCTGCACCCCACCCTCAATGGCTGAATAACCCCAAGTTACAAGGTCACCCCTGTGCTCAACATTATATCATTAAGAGGATGATTAGCGACAGTTACTTGCAGAGTAGAAGATAAGCATAGAAACACAGAAAATAGCAGCAAGAGTGGGCCATCTGGCCCTTCGAGCCTGCTCCAACATTCAATAGGATCATGGCCGATCACCCTAAAGCTTTTCATTTATATAGTGCCCTCCACAGCTAATGGACCATCCAAAACTTCACAGATAATTAAGTACTGTAGGGTTATATAGCTATATTCCCATTTATGACCTCTCAATTTTGTGGTTTGAGCAACACAGTTTGAATGTTGTGGGCATCACTGTTTGACAGTCTGCTTACCCGGGTCTTGTACTTTCTTGGCTGCTTTTTTTCTCTGCTGCAGGCTTTGAGGGGAAGTTGTGCGAGAGGAATATTGATGACTGCAACCCCGACCCCTGCCATCATGGAACCTGTACCGATGGCATTGCCAGCTTCACATGCCAGTGTGAGTTGGGCTACACTGGTTACCGCTGTGAGAATCAGATCAACGAATGTCATAGCAACCCGTGCCAGAACTCTGGCAAATGCATTGATCTGGTGAACAAATACCTTTGTCACTGCCAAGAGGGAACTTCAGGTAAAACTCAAAGGTCAATTCTCAGGCCTGCGTTTTTGCATTCACTTTCCTCTCTCCGATTTTCGGTCTTTTCTAGTGTCTGAATGTTCCACTGTTCCAATGAGTGACTGCTTCTAACCTTGAACACCTTACCAATACTCTTTAGGCAGCACTCAGGATCATCCCAGATGGGAGTGAAGCAATAGGGACTGAGCTTTGAGCCCCTTCTCCATTGCTGGTGATCAGCACAGTTGCACACCTCCAGTCTTGTTGACTGCCCTTTGAAAAGCAACAAAGAAACCTAGACAGTCAATTATTGTTTAATGAAAGAATCTTCAAGTTTTATAGAGAAATGTGACATGACATGTTTTGGCAGAAGGAATAGAGAGAAGCGAAATTGTTTTAATGGGCAGAATCTTTCAGTCCCAGAGGTAGTGGGCATGGGGGCAGGAAGGCAACTTCATTGGGTCGGATAGTGGTATCCCAAAACCGTTCGGGCTGGGAAATGTCAGGTTCTCGCCCCACCTTCAATTGAGGTACTTATGTAGTCAATCAATGACCATTTAAGGGCCTATTGATTGATTGATTGATTAATTTATTGTCCCATGTACCGAAGTATAGTGAAAAGCTTTGGTTACAAGCAATACAGGCAGATCATAGTAACCAAGGATGTATAGATCAAAAAGATTTAGACAGAGGCACACAGGTTACTTTGCACAGGGCGTGCACTAGGCAAGATCAACATTAGCAAGATCAACATTATTCGAGGCTAGCGAGTCCATTCATCAGTCTAACAATGGCTGGGAAGAAGCTGTTCCTGAACCTGCTGGTGCATGTGTTCAGGCTTCTGTATCTACTGCCTGACAAAAGAGGTTGTAGGAGGTCATTACTGGGGTGCAATGGGTCTTTGATGATGTTGGCAGCCTTTCCACAGCAGCAAACCGTATAAATGTAGTCTATGGATGATTACCCCTGAGCTGCTGTTATTCCAGCTCTAGATGGTACAGAAAGGGATCTGCCCACATGACTGTAAAGCCGTGAGGGCAGACTGCCTACTGGCTGTTGGTTTCTCAATCTGCATCAATTTGTGCGCGATCGAGGGAGTGGAACTAAGGCAGAAAGATGGGCTGCTGAGATCCTTCCGACTGCCCCTGCTTCTGATTCCTCTGTCCCCCTTATTCTCATGAACTCCTGACACAGAAACCACCACCACAAAATAAACATTCTCCTGAGATCTTGGTCCTTGCGTTCTTGGGTGGCTCCCAACAACCACCATGGCATCCACAGTGATTCTATCAAGTGTGAGAGCCTCCTGCCTCTGATCAGCCGGCACCTGTTGCTAGGTAGGATTTTCCCTCCAAACTGCCCGATTGAAGGAAGTTTTTGCAGGCCTTGCTGTAAAATATTCAGTTGATTACCTTGCTGGCTACTCAGCTAACAAGCGAGACACCTGACGAAAATGGAAGATTCCAGCCGATGGTACAATTCTGAAGATTGTGCAGGAACAGGAGAACCTGGGAATTCGTGCGCACAGATATTTGAAGGTACCAAGACATATTGAGAGCGTAGTTAGCAAAGTATGCGGGATCTTGGGCTTTGTAAAGAGAGGCATCAGATACAAATGTAAGGGAGGTTATGTTACACCTCCTAAAAGCTCTGATTAGGCCACAGCAAAGGTATTGTGTTCATCTGGTCACCATCCTTTAAGAAGGATGTATAGGGTGAAGAGGTGTTTTACCATGGATTGGAGATGTTAGTGGAAGCATTGTACAGAAGAATTAAATTGTACTTGATACTTTTCATTTTCTTCATTTTGCAGGACATTTCTATTGTTAATTAACAAAAATTCCATTCAATGTTAAATCATTCCTGTCACAATAATTATTCCAGTAATATTCAATCCTGTTCCTAGCCAGATATTCATCTAACTCTTTTTAAAGGTTTTAATTAACAAAGTTAACTACTTTCTTTAATGCACATATCCACTAATATATGGTGATGCTGCAAGATTTCACCTAATCTTGGATCTTACTTGAGGCTCTCTGATTTTATAATATAAATATTGGGTAAAAATCCAATTAAGTTATTTTACTTCTGCTCATTCATCCCAGCATTTGAAACATCTACAAGTCCTTATTTTCACAATGGAATATGTTCATTTTGTGAGTTTGTTGTCTTAAGGCTTCAATTCCCATAAATCTCCTGTCAAACTCTTTTCTATTGTAAATGTTGGATCTCACAAGAACTTCCTGAGATGCTACAGCTGGACAGATTCACTGCCATCAATCCTCTGATTTGGTATCTGTCTACATTAGTGATGCCAAATGGAGAAGGGTACCCACACATTATCGTACACAGAAGACTGGTTCAGTCTTGATAAACAGCTTAGATATATTAAATATTCCTTAATAGCTAATTACATTGCATGTGATACACATGACAGTCTCTTGACTCAACTTATAGGGAAGTAAAAATTAATGCTACTGAGACATTCCTACACAGAACTCTTAATGTATCTCTTAACTCCTCCCAGAACAGTCCTTTATATCTGAAGCAGAGCTTATTCGTGATTTAGGGTGAAGCATTAGTTGCTTTTCCTGACCCTTCTGAGCAAATGAAAGCGTTAATATGCTAGATTTGGACAGACGAGCCTAATTCATTCATTACAGCACAATCCATCACCAATTGACTCGATGTGCCAGCACATTATTTTTCCAGCGAAGCCAACACAAGCTGGAGGAACAACACCTCATTTTCCGCTTGGGGACCCTACAGCCCTCCAGACTCAATATTGAGTTCAATAATTTTAGGGCCTAAACTCTCCGATGTCCCAGCCCCCTACCCCACACACCAGGCCTTGTTACCACATAGCCTGTCATTACACACCCCCTGTTAGTCACTAACAGTCCCCATTAACAACTATTCACCCTCCCAACCTAATCGTTAGCAACTCCTTTGTCTGTCCAACTGTCTTGCTCTCTCTTTGGGCTCTATCCTATCATTTACTCCCTACCCCACCCACCTCTCTATCTTCTGCATATAAACTGATATTTTCCCAGCCACCATCAGTTCTGAGGAAGGGTCACTGGACCCGAAACGTTAACTCTGTTTTCTCCCTCACAAATGCTGCCAGACCTGCTGAGCTTTTCCAGCAAATTTTTTTTGTTCATTATTTTTCTAATTTATTTCTATGATCTGTAATACTGGACTTTTTATTTCTTTCTTTTTCTAAACTTTTGTTGTCTAAGAATTTGTACTTAAGAATTTGCACCTAGGTACCTTTGTACCTAAAATGGTGGCGTAAGTGGCGGCTTGTAACCTTTTCACTGTACTCATTCAAGTACATATGATAATAAAGCTTTTTTTTTAAACTGTTGTCCCTAGTTTTCAGCAAATGAGACGTTTGGAAAGTTTTCAGGCTGTGTCCCCCTGAACGGTGACTAACACCAAACAGCATAATTCAAAATTTCTCTCTCAATCTTGATTTTGTTTAAGGTAAACATTTTTGAATGAGCCATAGTGGATTATTGTGGCTACATGACCATTGCTGGCATGTGATGCTGGTGGATTGTTGATCATATTGTGAGGCCTTAAACCATAGCGGCCTACCTGTAATTTGTGGTAGACTGTATTAAAATCAAAATATTAAATAAGCCTTAAATTAACATTGTTGCTTTTGGCTTTGGTGCAATTTGTGTGTCATTGAATTTTTACCATGACCTGCAGGTGTCAACTGTGAGATAAACCATGACGACTGTGCCAGCCAACCCTGTGATTATGGGATCTGCCAGGATGGTATTAACCGCTATGACTGTATCTGCAAACCAGGCTTCACAGGTGAGCGCACCCTCTTTCAGCTCTTTGTTAACTGGCAAGCCTGACAACATTTCTTTGACAGCTTGCTCCCCCTGACCCACCCTGATATTCAGTGGGAGTGGTGGTTCCAGGGACATTCCACATTGTCCTGCTGATGCAGGTCCCACAATTCTCCAGCTCACTTATTTTGCTCCTTTCAGGCCCGCAGTGCAACCTGGAGATAAATGAGTGTGCATCAAACCCTTGTCAGAATGGCGGCACCTGCATCGACGGTGAGGATGGATTCTCTTGCCTCTGTCCAGACGGTTACCACGACCCTCTGTGTTACTCCGAAGTGGACGAATGCAGCAGCAGCCCCTGCATTCACGGGACTTGTCACGACGACGTCAATGGGTAAGGCAACCGAAAAACAAAGGACAGAGAATTTCCTATTTTCTATTTTCTTACTTCCAGTGCAGGAGCTATGGCTGTGGTTTGTGTTAGGGTTCTGCATTCTGGCTAGTTGAATATTCACACTCTACTCATTTACTTGTAGGTACAAGTGTGACTGTGAGGCAGGGTGGACAGGAATGAACTGTGATATCGACAAGGTTGAATGTGATTCCAACCCCTGCCAGAATGGAGGCAGCTGCTCTGATCTGGTGAATGGCTACATTTGTAAATGCAAAGAGGGCTTTCGAGGTACGTTAAAAATTGTAAAATTATACTGAGGTCACCCGTATACAGTTGAAAGCCTGGTATGTTAATCTAATGAGGCTGTAAAATAAAAAAAATGGTGTTTTTAATAGATTGTTTAGGTCCCTGTATTTCGAAATATAAGCAAATTAAATCCTACAGGTTGGGAACAGAACATGTAGTCCATAGTGACTGTTGCTGCTTTGAAAGAGCTATCCAATTAATCCTACTTGTGCAGTCTTACCTCATAGCCCTGCAGATTTCTCCTTCTGTATTACAAAACCTATTCCTTTTTAAAGTTACGATTGAATCTGCTGCCACCACCCTTTCAGACAGGGCCTCAGCAGTTCCAAATCATTAAAACTCACTATATGAAGATGTGTGTGTGTCTTCCCTCCATTCCTCTGAGTAAACAATGCAGATACTTGTGTTCCTTCAGCACATTGTGCATGCTGTTCATTGCCCCATCTTTTTTACCCACATGCCCCCAAATCTGGACATGACCCATCCATGTTGAGCTACTTACATTTTTCACAAGCCATGCACTCACTGAAGAATGTTGTTTTAATTCTTTACACAGGCCAGCACTGCCAAGTCAACATTAATGACTGTGCGTCAAACCCTTGCTTAAACAAAGCAATCTGTGTGGATGGGATCGCTAGTTACACTTGCCAGTGTGAGCTGCCCTATACAGGTAAGAGTCTGACCCCTGGAACACCTGATCATCTTAGTAGTTACTGCAGCAATGAAGTGAGTTTTGTCCCTGGTCTTTGTTTTCTTACAATAGTGCTTTTAATTGTCTTCATTAATAAGCAGCTCAGAGACACAAAGGGTTGTGTTGCGAGGTCCTGTGGCTCAATGCAGCTATGCGTCTGAGATAGGGTGAGAACACTGCCGGAGGAGTGGAGGGCAGCATTCCTGCACACCAGTGTGTTGCCTTCATGTTGTACCACTGGAATACTTCCCTTTAATGATTAATGTGCGTCACTCCTCAGTTGAGTTTGTTGGATTGTTTTGTAAATAGCATGCACAGTTTGAGTTATGTGCAAGAAAATGGCTTTTAGTTCAAAGCAGTGTTCCATCTGTAAATGTAACAGGAGTTGCCAATTTTTGCTGAGTTTGGTTTGTCTTGCTACAGAGTGTGTGGGTGAATCACCCTCGGTAAACTTAACCAAGGAACAAAATGGCTTGATACTTTTCCAGAAAGGTCAAGTACTGTAAGTTGGCGAGATGTGTGTTCAGGCTGGTTTATTTTGATAAATCCATAGGATTCTATTTGCAGATTTCAGGGCTATGCAGGAGATTTCAGGATTTGTCTGTGATATTTACTGTTGGAAGTAAATGTGAGAGCATTTCTGGTGGCTCAGATGACACCACTTCCAGGTCAGGAAGAGGAGAGGTTTGAATATATCACACTTGTGGTTTGTCTTCTAATTTTGGATCTTGTTTGGTTGATTCTTTGGGTAACATGTCACATGGTTTATATTAGTAAACGTTCCTCTACCAAAGAGTGACTGTAGCCTGACTCTGGTCAGTTGTGGAGGCTTGATCACTGAGAGCACTTAAAGAGGAAGATAGACAGACGTTTGAAATTTCAGTATGTTGAGGGCCTTGAGAAGCTGGTAAGAAAGAGGACTTGAGGCCTGGGACAGATCAGCCTGTTGAATAACAGAACAGGCTTGAGGGGCCAAATGGCTTACTTCTGCCCCTGTTTTGTATGTGCTTATGTTGCACCTTCTTTCACCACCCTCAAGGAAACAGCAATTTGCCAGGTAAAATAAAACTCTGTTTCAACCTTGTTTCTGTTGCCACTTGCCTTAAAATTTGAGAATGGAGACTTGATCTCTGAACATGCCTTGATTCCTATCCTGGGTAAAACTCAAACAGTCTCAAGGAATGATTCCTGCTAACAGTACTGTTTGTCTCAGTAATGCAGAGATGAAATTTGCCACTCTCTCCGTCCACAGGACCTAACTGTGAGAATGTGCTGGTTCCATGTTCGCCCAACCCCTGTGAGAATGGTGGAGTTTGTGACCACACTCCCGACTATGAGGATTTTGTGTGTACCTGTACGGAGGGATGGCAGGGTAAGTTGCACCCAGTGCGGTATCGGTGAGCATGATAATTTAACGTAGCATTCATGTGAATGCTGACAGAAGGACAGAGGGAACAATCAGCGTGCCTTACCACTCTCTGTCTCTCTCACTCTCTCCTCTATTCCCTCAGGACGGATCTGTCAAGTAGATGTTGATGAATGTGCAACCAACCCCTGCAAGAACCGAGGCTCTTGCACCAACACACTAGGAAGCTACATCTGTGCCTGTCGACCAGGCTTTGCAGGGCATAACTGTGAAACGGACATCAATGACTGTACTCCCAGTAAGTACTTCATAGGATCATAGAATCCTTACAGTGTGGGGACAGGCCATTCAGCCCAACAAATCCACGCTGCCCCTCCAAACAGCATCCCACCCAGACCCATTCCCCTACCCCTGATTTCCCCATGTCTAACCCACCTAACCTAAAGATGCCTGGGCACTATGGGCAATTTTCCATGGCCAATCCACCTAGCCTGCACACCTTTGGACTGTGGGAGGAAACTGGAGCACCTGGAGGAAACCCACACAGACACGGGAAGAATGTTAAACTCCACACAGACAGTCGCCTGAGGCTGGAATTGAACCCAGGTCCCTGGTGCTGTGAGGCAGCAGTGCTAAACGTGCCGCCCATGTTGGAGCTATGGCAAAATGTCTTCGATGGTTGTGACTGGCCGCAACAATATAAAATGTATCAATGGTTGAATCTCAGGCTTGAACTCAAATCCCACCGCAGCAGCTGACCGATTTGAGTTTAGTTAATTAGGTAATTCTCGAGCAAAAAGCAGGCTTCGGTAATGGTGACCACAAAACTACTGGATTACCATAAAAATTCATCTGGTTCACCAATCACCTTTAGGGAAAGAAATCTATTGTGTTTAGGTAGTGCGGCCTACGTGTGACTCCAGGTCCACAGCAAAGGGGTCGACTGTTAAATATCCTCCAAAGTCGCCCAGTAAGCCATTCAGTTGTACTCAGGAGAGTAATTCACTCCCATCTTTTTAATCATATGCAATTTATACTCGCTTTTCTGATATTGGCCCATGATATGAATGAGTTTTTAAAAAAAAAAAAATTCTGGGCACTTCACAGCCTTTAATCAAACCAGATATAACAAGAGAAATCTGAATTGAATATCTTCCTCTTCAAATCTCGTCATAGCTTTGTCTCTATTTACCTTTTTAAGGTCCTCTGGCCCCTCAGGAACTGTACATTTCTCCTAACTGTGACCCCTTGTGCATTCAGGAGTTGGTTGATGTCACCATTGGCAGGCCTGCCTGTCCAGTCCTCTGGTTGAACGACCCCAGATTCCTCTGTTCTCATTTAAGGCCCATGTGTTGCCTACCTTTCGGTCCAACCTTGCCAAGTACATCCCTGCTTAGCACAGATTCCAGTCCCATTCTAGAGACTTGTGTATAAAAGGTAGGTTTGATGCTGAAGGGGGCGCTGGACTGGTATAAAGCGCTGATATTAATTGCTGCTTCCTTCCCCTCAGATCCCTGTCTGAATGGCGGTGCCTGCCTGGATCAAATTAACTCCTTCATCTGTAACTGCCTGCCTGGCTTTGCAGGCACCCAGTGTGCCGATGAGATCGATGAGTGCCGGAGCAATCCATGCCACAATGGGGGCACTTGCACCGATTATGTCAACAGTTACACCTGTACCTGTAAACCTGGATTTAATGGCCTGCACTGCGAGAACAATATTCCCGACTGCACTGAGAGGTGAGCCAGATATGCCTGTCCTGTTACTAGACCCAGCCAGCACAGAGTAGGCATCAGCTCATAGTCACACCTCTAATATGGCACATTGACAACTCACTCACAGAAGGCTGGCATTGTGAACTGGAAATGATCGAACTGAGTTTGGGAGGTATAGGTGGATTGGATTTGCGGCTGTAAAGGAAGAATCTGTATTTATGTAGCGCCTTTCACAATCTTGGGCCATTCCAAATTGCTTTACGGCTGATGGAGTAATTTTGAAGGTTTGTAATGCCGGAATTAGAGCAACCCGTATGTTCACAGTAACCTCTCACGGATAGCAATATCATAATGATCAGATAATGTTGGTTGAGGGATGAATATTGGCCAGGAGGCAGGGGAAACCTCCCCACGAATCTTTACAATGGTTGTCCTATGTCTACGCGAGAGGACAGACAGAGACCTTGGTTTAACACCTCATTCAAACTGAGACCTTCAGCAGTGCAGCACTCCCTCAGTGTGGCACTAGACTGTCAGCCTAGAGTTTGTGTTTGAGCCCGTGGAGCAGAATTTCTGACTGAGTAGCAAATGTGCAACCCCACTGAGCCACAGTGTATCTAACCTTGGATGGTTTCAAGTAGAATGTATTCCATTCTCCAGCATTGTTGTCTCTTTGACCACAAAATGAACAACATTAAGGATCTCACTGTCTAGATCAGTAATCATCAAAAGAATTTTCTTTGTATATAATCCCCTTTATTGCTCATTTAATAAAAGCATAGCTTCGTCGTATCAAGAAGCCAATGTCAGACTAGCTATGCTTTTATTAGCAATAACTTAGAACCTTTATGGGAAAGTGTCAATGGTGCGGTCAATCACATGGTTGAAGAAATGAGTGTTGTTCAATAGGAACCGTTGGTTTTCCCAGATAAAAATCAAAATTAGAAACCGACACCTGATGAAGTCCTGCTTCGTCTCCTCAGCTACATCGAGTGGCCAAGCTGATTCATCAAGAGTGGGGAATATTTGACCCACTGAGCACTCTAATTGTACACTGGCTCCATGCCAGTATCTGCTGCTGAGAGGTGTGGGTATCTCTTACTGTGGCTGTTAAATGAATAATTCGCACTGCTTTGCCCCGCTTAGTCAGTGAATGGTTAATAAAAGCTCACTTGAACATCAGATCATGTTAATAGATCTCCTTTTCTCAAAAGAAACTCTGCAAGGCTTAATTTTTACTATTCTTCCAGTTAATGAGCTTGTGGCAGTTATGTCCCCTTTCTTCCTCTCCTCGTTAGGTTTCTTCATGGACCCCTTGAAAGCCCAGTCTCACATTTGGGTGCATTTGCATCAGCACCAGTAGTTCTTCAGTTAGCTTCACCTATGCACTAATTGCCCAGGCAATGAATGTTAATAATGTTCTTCACCTCTGAGCCAAAAGCTTGTGGGTTTAAGAACGTGAGAACAAGGAGCAGGAATCAGCAATTCAGCCCTTCTAGCCTGCTCTGCCATGCAATACAATGACAGCTGATGTCTTAGCATCAACTCCACTTTCCTGGCTGCTCCCCATAACCTTTCAACCCATTACTAATTAAAAATCTGCCCATCTCCTCCTCAATTTTTTTCAGTGCCTTGGCATCTACCACCCTCTGGGATAGTGAATTTGACAGATTCATGACGCTTTGAAAGAAGTAATTTCTCCTCCTCTCTGTTTTAAACCAGCTACCCCTTATCCTAAAACTGTGACTTCTCGTTCTCGATTGCCCCACATGAGGAAACATCCTCTCTGCATCAACTTTGTAAATTATCTTTACCATCATACATACCTCAATTAGATCTCCTCTCATTCTTTTAAACTCTAGACTGATTTTCTCAGTCTCTCTTCATAAGACAAACTCCTCACTTCTGGAATCAATCTATTGAATGTAAAGGCCCACTTCAAGGACAATATTCAGGCTGACTCTTCAGTGACAATGCTGCAGTACCAGAGGTTATTGTCTTTGGTTGAGATGTTAAACCGAGGGCTCTGTCTGGCCTGGTGAATAAAATAGCCACTGCACTGATGGAAGAAGCGAGTGGAGTCCTCAGGCCAATACTTGTCTCTCAACCAGCATCAGGCTATCTGGTCATTATTTTTGTTGTTTGTGGGAGCTTGCTTTGTGTTAAAATGTCTGCTCCTTTTCTGGTATCGCAACAATGACTATTCATGAAAAGTCCTTCATTGGCTTTAAAGTATTTTGCAATTGCCTTGAAGTAGAAGGGACAATAGAAATGCAAATCTTTCCTTCTTATTTCAGCTGTAAGAATATCACACACCAAATTACTCCTCATGCTTCCCTAATGCTCTTCTGAGCAGGAGAGAGCAACAAGAAATATTAACCATGGCTCAGATTCACTAACTGCATTTTTCTCAGCTTTATGAGACTGTTGACCGTCAACAGTGCTACATGGTTTGACTTGTCAAATTAGTACATTTTCATATCTGTTGTAGCAGTAACAATTTTTTCCCATATCAAGACTTCAAAATTGTGGCAACCCTTCATTAAGCACTCATGGCCTGTGAGAGTAGCAGCATTGTGGTTATAACTGGGTTAAAGCTGCATGGGAACCATTGCTGTTTCAGAGCTCAGGATCTCAAAATTTCATTTGGCAACACCCCTTAGGCTTCTGAGGGCCCCACCCCACCCCCAACTTTGGGAAGCTCTGTGTTGTTCTGGAATAATTGGCGATTAGATGAGGATTGCCCACAGTTGGTTTCCTGTGCCTGTATACTGGACGCTGTGACTGAGACATTCCAGTAGAACCTCCACATAAGAAAGACCATGAATCGAGACAATATAGCCTCAAAATCAAAGTGTTTTTTCTTTCTTTTTCAGCTCCTGTTTCAATGGAGGGACCTGTACAGATGGCGTTAATGAGTATAGCTGTCATTGCCGTTCTGGTTTCACTGGTTCCAATTGCCAGTATGACATTGACGAGTGTAACTCACAGCCGTGTCTGAATGGTGGGGTGTGTGTCGATGGGTTAGAGTCCTACAGGTGTACTTGCCCTCATGGGTACACAGGTGACCGGTGTCAGGTGAGGATTAATTTACTGCTCTGTCTTTTCTCATGCTTCCTTTCTCATGCAAGGTTCCAAATCTGTGGGCACCCTCATCCATTAACTGCAGTGCATACTACATGTGTGTGTGTGCGTGTGCGTGTGTGTGTGTGTATGTGTGTGAGAGAGAGACACAGTGTCCTGACATCTTTATAAAGTGCTGGAGAAACTCAGGACGTCTGGCAGCATCTGTGGAGACAGAAATGGAGTTAACGTTTCGAGTCCAGTGACCCTTCCTCAGAACCAGCTGTACTGCCTGGATGGAGACTTTGACGGTGGTGGATTCTCACTGGCTGATTTTTCTTGCCCACTTCTTACTGGTTGGTCACAAAGTGCGTAACCCCAAAGAGTTTTGTGTGTACTGCCACAGAGAGAGATGGGAAATCCAAGCAGGAGAAACCATTTTGCTAACAATCTGTCACGTTCCCTCCTTTAGATCAGCATAGACTGGTGCAGCAAGTCACCGTGTAAGAATGGCGGGCGGTGTCACCCAAAAAGAACATCCTTTACCTGTGAGTGTGCGAGCGGGTGGGCAGGACGTTACTGTGACATTCCCAACGTGTCGTGTGAAGTGGCTGCCGCACAGAGAGGTAGGGGCTGTGGAATGTAAGTTGCTCCTCCAACGTGACATGCAGCGCGAGCAGCTTGCACAGTGCCTGAACTACCTTAAGGAGTGAAGCATGCACGGGGACATAGGAAATAGGAGCAGGAATCGGCCATTCGGCCTTTCGAGCCTCCTCCATCATTCATCATGGCTGATGGAGCCAGGCAAATGACTGGCATGGAAACTGGAAGTGTTTCCTCGACATATTAGCATGGAACGAACCTCATTCCAATTATTCCTCCTCTGTTTCTGACCTACGAGTGTGTAACACTGGCATGGAAGTGGGAAAGTGCTCCAGTTCCAGTACTAAGCATTCCAAATCTTCACACAAAAAGCAGTTCCACCGTCTAGACTGAATCACATTGCTTGCTCCCCCATTCCACGATGGACAGCTAATCCTGTGGATTTGGTGTGATTTTTAAAAAAGAGCAGATGTGTAAACAGATACTGGCTGTTGTTATGTCAAAATGTATTTTTATTTCTCTTTTGTTCTTTGCACAGGAGTGGCTATAACTCAGCTTTGCCATCACGGAGGCTCGTGTTTCAGTGTTGGAAATGCACATCATTGCATCTGCCCCAAGAGTTACACAGGCAGCTACTGTGAGAATGAGGTTGACCACTGTGCCTCCAACCCGTGTCACAGTAGCGCCACCTGCAGGAGCTTCATTGGAGACTATATGTGTGAGGTGAGAAAAAGTTCAAGCTCAATACAGTACTACCCCTTGCGAAGCATATAGAATGGTAACAGCGTAGAAGGAGGCCACTCAGCCCATTGTGCTTGTACTAGCTCTCTCGCAGCCACTCAGCTAGCCCCGCACCCTGGCCTTTTCCCTGGAGCTGTCAAATATCTTCTTTTTAAATAATTATCCAAATCCCTCTTGAAAGCAGCAAGATCTGTGTCCACATCTCAGACATTGCATCCCGGATCCTAACCACTTGCTGTGTTTGGGGGGAGGAAAATCATACTTCCTACTGATCTTTGCGAATTGCTGATCGCAAAGTTCTTCTCACACATGAAACACATATACATTGTTTGCATACCTCACCCCAATGGAGATTGATTGAAATCACTGATCCCCAGGTGCTGACTTGTGGGCAGGCCCGTGTTGGTGTATTTATATGGGAGGGAAGAATTTGGGTCATGGATTCTCAATTCAAAACTAGGATCATGTGGAAGGTTCATTCTGTTATGATCCCAGACTAGCAACTAGCAACTTTATGTTATGATCCAGAAAGAGGTCACCAAATTATGAAGGGACCACTAACCTTTAATTTTAAAGTAGACAGCAGGTAAAATCTAGTGGTCTTACTGAGAGAATAAAGCCACAAGATTCCACTGTTTTGAACCAACAACAGTACCTTACTATGCAATTAGAGCACTAATACCATCAGCAACCAATATACAATTTATTTACAACTCTTAGAATTAACCTATATAAACATGGTAATACACATTGAACACCCCAGCAAGCACCACAAGTAACAAAACAGATACCACAGATTTCTCGGTAACTTCTTTTGAGTCTTAACGCCAGCTCTAACCTGCTTCCAGAGGCTATGGTCTCGTGGTATTATTGCTGGACTATTAATCCAGAAACCCAGATAGTGTTCTGGAGACCCAGGTTTGAATCCTGCCTTGGCAGATGGTGGAATTTGAATTCAATAAAATATCTGGAATTAAGAATCTTATGATGACCACGAATGCATTGTCGATTGTCAGGAAAATCCCATCTGGTTCACTAATGTCCTTTAGGGAAGGAAACTGCTATCCTTACCTGGTTTGGCCTACATGTGGATCCAGACCCAAAATGTGGTTGACTCTTAATCTGCCCTCTGGGCAATTAGGGATGGGGCAATAAATGCTGCCCTAGCCAGCGACACCATCATCCTGTGAATGAATAAAGGAAAATAAAATCTAGAACTGCTTCCTGAGTTCATTCTAACAGCACCAAGCCATCCCTTTCCCTGAGGTGTTCTTTATCTGCACTGCCAAAGGTGACAGACTAATCACTATCCTTGTCAATTCTCCATGAATCATTAGGCCATGTTGTCATTGGAAAGTGGCAGTTCCACACCGGCACTGTGCTCAGGACCGTTAATGACCTATTGATCTCAGCTGGTAGGAACTAGTAGGAACACCTGGACACATCAAACTTAAAAGCTTGTGTTCATCATGTCAAGCGATGAGTTGAACTTTGACCTCTTTTCCTCAGTGCATGCCGGGCTACAAGGGGAAAACCTGCAAGCTGGAGGTGAATGAATGTGAGTCAAACCCGTGCCAGAATGGAGGGACATGCCTTGACCTGATTGGCCGCTACATCTGCTCCTGTCCACCAGGAACCCTGGGTGAGTGAGCTTGGGTCCCCTTTACAAACCGTTTTCATAGGTGGAGGTGGAGGAGACAGTTCCCAAGAGAGATGTGGGGTGGGGTTGGTGCAGGAGGTTATCACGGAACTCTGTCAAATGCCATGTTGCACCGCAACAAAGAGCAAGAGCTGGCTTGAAGGGATTTGCTCAGGTTGTTCCAGTGTTAACGTGCTTATTGAACATTGTAATGGGATGTCATTGATTCGACCTCAGAATCTAAACTCACCTTGATTCTGTTTGGCCCCAGCCAGCTTTCAAAATCTTTAAACTGAGACTGACCGAGCACTAACAAAACCAAATTGAGTCACTGCTCAAAAGAGACAAGGCGATGTATCAAACCTGATCACATGATGGATTGAATTTCATGCCCCTTCCGGGTCCCGCCCACCCCCTGGCTGTCTGCCCGTCCCCAGGAATAAGCTAGCAGGTCAGGATGGAGTATACAGTTTATAATTGCAATTTCATTTTATTATTGGCCATGTAGAAATTTATTGCCAATTGGGAACTTTAGCCTCTATCACGGAAAGTCAGGGTCAGTGACTTTGGATAATTAAATGCAAATCTTAGGCAGTTCTTGTCACGCATCTCCTAGGGTTATGTGTAAAGGTTATACAACAGGGTAGTCATGAGCTAGTGTGCATTTCAGCCTTTATCCTAGTCAACTCACCTCTCCCTCACTGAGCACTTATCCTACTTATCATTGATTCTTCTGCGCCTTATGAAGTCTTCACTGCAGTATTTCAGCTTTTGTTGATTACTTGGAATTGTCTTTTGCAGGTGTACTTTGCGAAATCAACGAAGATGACTGTGGTCCATCTCCCGGTACAAACATGCCCAAGTGTATGAATAATGGGACCTGTGTGGATAGAATTGGAGGCTACACATGTAACTGCCCTCCAGGGTTCACTGGTGATCGGTGTGAGGGCGACATTAACGAGTGCCTGTCCAACCCTTGTAATCCACAGACAACTATTGACTGTGTCCAGCTACCTAATGATTACCAATGCGTGTGCAAGCCTGGCTTCACAGGTCAGTGAGATAACTGGACCCTAGAATGGTACTGACATAAGATGATCATCTCTGCCATTACCCAATCAAACACACTTGCTACTGTTCTTTCTCTCCTGCTTACTTCCTTTGCTTAACATCCATTTTACAGTTTGACTTTGAAACTACCTTTTTTTTCTAATACAATTACTGATGTCCTATTGGTTGCTCTTTGAAGGTTAATGACTTGCCTGTAATGCAGCAGTGCTTGTGAACTCAGCCAGGTGTCTTGGCTCCAATTCTGCTCAGTTTCAAAAGAAAGATTTTTTTTCCCTTGTTTGTGGGATGTGGGCTTTGCCACAAGACCAGCATTTGTTGCTCATCTCTAATTGCCCTTGAACTGAGTGACTCACTAGTGCCATTTAAGAAGGCAGTTTAGAGGCATCCACTTTGCCATGAGCCTGGATTCATATGTAGACCAGACCAGTAAGGATAGCACATTATAGTGCCTATTGGAAATGTAAAGAATGGGGAGGGTATGGCAGTTCACCAGGTGGCCACTCCCTGAAAAGCAGTACAGTGTACATGGAATCCACACTAGAGAATTGGGCCATTCAGTCCAGCCCTATGCTGCAAATGAACCCTATCCCACTTTAATTATTTCTCCAACCCATCAATATACCTTTCTTTTTATTTCTCCCCCAATTGTTAGCCTCCTCCTAAATGCATCCATGCTAGATTTAGATTTATTATCAAATGTATATAAAAATACAGTGATAACAAGGTATAGAGCTGGATGAACACAGCAGGCCAAGCAGCATCAGAGGAGCAGGAAGGCTGACGTTTCAGGCCTAGACCCTTCTTCAGAAAAAAATACAGTGATGTGTTTTTTCACATGCAAAATGCAAAGTGTCACCCTGCTCCGGCACTATCTTGAAACACTGAATATAATGCAATATTTTGCTATAGTAGAATTCATTTGCCTCAACTATTCCCTAAAGCACCACATTCTAATCACACAGTGATAAAGTTTCTTCTGAATTTCCAATTGAATTTGTGAGTAACTATCTTCTATTTCTGACTGATCATTTTGGACACCCCACAAATAAAGACAACTCTAGATCTAACCCTACATAATTTCTAAATCCTTTACCAGGTCACCTCACAGTCTTCTCTGTTCTAGAGTAAAGAGCTAGAATCTATTCAGTCTTTCCGGATAATTATGACGTCTTGGTTCTGGTAATGTTTTGTAACTCTTTTCTGCAGTTTCTCAATTGTCGCTCTGTCCTTCTTTGGTAATGCACAAGTCTGTATTTTACATCAAGCATGATGAGTTGACTTACCTTAAAATGTGAATACCTGTGTGCAACACAGTTCCAACATGTAATTATGAGCATGATCTTCAACTTCTACAAGCGCCCCCTACCTTGTGACAGCCCCAGTTCAACTTCTGGTTTTGTCCCTCTTTTCCCACAGGCCATCAGTGCCAAAGTGTCATCAACATGTGCGAATCTCAACCCTGTGAGAATGGGGGCCACTGTAAAATTGCAGTCAATACACCGCTTGGTTATACCTGCAAGTGTCAACCGGTGAGTGCTAGGAAGACAAACACACTGAGATTGCTTGCTTGCTTATTTTTTGTGTAAACACTTTTTCCAATCCTTTTTATCCTAAGTCGCTCCATTTGGAAGCATTCTGCCTCACTCCTGAGTTGTGGAGTTAAGTTTGAAATTGGCCTCAGGTCCCTGAGAGGGCATGGAGAGGGAGTTATCAGAGTTTCTGCTCCAGATTAGTAGCTACAGCTCTTTTTGCTGGTCCAGGACAGGGTGAGGCTCAGTTGAAAATGCCTGTCATGCCCAATGGTTGGCAGAACTAATTGACTGGATTCACAGAGTGCCTGGCCGCTTCAACAAGGTGCGGAGGGTAACCAGTCTCTCTGAACCCAGTAAACCACCACAGCTCCGAGAAGGCAGGGAGGTGAAATGGAACCCATACTCTTCACAGAATCATGGAATTGTTATAACACAGAAGGAGGCCATTCAGCCCATTGTGCCTGTGTTGGCTTTCGAAGCGAGGAATTCTTTATGTACCTCTCAGATCCCCCCCTTAATCCTGCGGATCTTCCTATTAGTTGATATTAGTGGAGTAAGGGGCAGGAAAAATTTGAGAGCATTTCTTTTCCACTTGAAGAACTTTTGCCACTCTTGGTCATTCTCAAAATGTGAGCGTCACATTCAAGGCTAGCTTTTAGTACCCTCACATAAAAGCAAAACCCTGCAGGTGCTTGAAACCTGCAGTAAACACAGAAAATGCTGGAGAAACTCAGCCGATCAGGCAGCATCTGTGGAGAGAGAAACAGAGTTAACATTTCGAGTCAAATGTGAATTCTTCAGAACCGGAAGAAGAGTCATTTCAAATGCAAAATGTTAACTCTATTTCTCTTTCTCATGTGAGGGATTTCATCTCACTGAATTATCAGAAGACTCTCGAATACTACAACAACAATTTTTATTTATGTAACACCTTTAATGTAGGAAACTGTCCAAAGTGTATCCTCAAACAAAATTTGAGACTAAGCAATGCAAGGAAATATAAATACAGGTGACCAAAAGATTTGATCAAAGATGTAGGTTTTCTGGTGGATTTTCAAGGAAGTGAAAGACTTAGAGATTTAGGCAGGAAATTGCAAAGTCCAGGACAGCCGAAGGCACCACAGCGCAGACGGAGCAGCTAAAGTTGGGTTGAGCAAGAGGCCAGGCGTGGAAGAGTACTGAATTCCCAGAAGGTCGTGGGGCTGGAAGAGGTGACAGAGAAATGGATGGGTAGGGCCATGGAGGGCTTTGGGAAGACAGTGTGAATTTTAAATGGAAATGTTGCCTAACCACAAGCCAATGTAGGTCAGTGAGCATGGGAATGATGGAAACATTGAACCATTGAAGCCATTGAGGCCACTTGGCCCATTGTGTCCATGCTGGGTGAAAGGGTACCAGACAGCCTTACCCCCACTTGCTGCCTCTAATCCATAGCCTGGTAGTTTATGGCACTTTGTGTACATGACCAGGTACCTTTTAAATGCTGTGGGGATTTAGCTGTACCATCATTTCAATCAGTCCGCTCCAAATCACCAGCATCAGCACCTCCTACCTCTTATGTCTAAATCTATTGCCCCAGTTACGAGCTCCTCAATCAAGGAGGACAGGTCCTTCCTATCCACTTGGTTAGACTTAGGATTACGGCAACAGGTCCACTAAAACAACAATCCTGTTATTTGGAGTGTTGCTTAGTGATTGATTTTTATAGCATGAACTCACTTGTGAAAGGATTAACACACGCTTGTATTCTCTTGCAGAGCTACACTGGGCCAAATTGCGAGCGTAGCATTCTAACCTGTCGAGAGCTGACCTGCCAGAATGGTGAGCTGTGCACTGATTCTCCGCTGGGAGCTCGTTGTACCTGCCCACCGGGGATTGCTGGCCTGGCCTGCCAACTTCCCACCTCCAACCACAGCTGCAGTAGTCGGCCTTGCCGCAACGGTGGCATCTGCCAGGCCAGCCGGCAGCCTCCCTTCTATCAATGTCTGTGCCTGAAGGAGTTTGGCGGGAGGCATTGCGAGGTGTTGAGGAGGTACCCCCCTCCTTCCAAGGAGACGGCCTGCTCCATCCGGGAGTGCCATAGCAGGGCGGGCGATGGCTACTGTGACCGGGACTGCAACACACCCGCCTGCCAGTGGGATGGTGGTGACTGCTCACTGTCCGTTGACGACCCCTGGAGGGAGTGCAGCGTTCAGGAGTGCTGGCGCTACTTCAACAACAATATCTGTGACGAGTTCTGCAACAGCCGCGAGTGTCTGTATGACAACTTTGACTGCCAAAGCCAAGAGAAGACCTGCAAGTAAGTCCAGGCACTGATCTGCACTCAACGACCGGCTAGCTGGTTAGCTTAGGGATTGATGCCTTTGAAGGTTTCTTCTTCAACTTTGGATCACCCACTGACTCAGTCACTCAAGTGGACTACAATGTGGCACTGCTCCATGACCTGCACAGAAACCTATCACTGTTTAAATTCAGAGATAGCAGGAACTGCAGATGCTGGAGAATCTGAGATAACAAGGTGTAGAGCTGGATGAACACAGCAGGCCAAGCAGCATCAGAGGAGCAGGAA